ATGATGTTCGAAGACCAACAACTGTGCCAAGTTTGGAAGAAATTGGTGCAGCGGTTACCAAGATATACACATGTAACCATAAGTAGGCGTGGCTACGCCCATTTGCCAAAATTTTTTAATATTCTTATTTTTCGTCTAAAACTCATTGCAAATATCAATTTTGAGTGAATTATCTTCAGTAGTTACTAAAATATCGCACTTTTCGTATTTCTGAAAATTACCGTTATATGGGAGGTAGGCGTGGTTATTGTCCGATTTCGCCCATTTTCAATACCATCCGTCCTGTGCCCAAAAGAAGTCCATGAACCAAGTTTCGTTAAGATATCTCAATTTTTACTCGAGTTATCGGGTGCACAGACGGATGGACGGACGGACAGACAGTCACCGCTTAATCGATTTCTCTTTTCATTCTGATCATTTATGTATACATTTGTCTATATCTATCTCGATTCGTTTTGCCTGTTACAAACAACCGTTATGTGAACAAAGTTATAATACCCTTGTGCACAAGTGCGCTCGGGTATAAAAAAAATATAAGTGCATTTTTCGGTTATTACGACTATGGAAATGTATGCAGCAGAAGAGCAAAAATATCGGCTTAAAACTTTTAAAATGTTCATTGCATATTGGTTTCAGGTAAAAAAAAAAATAAAACCTTGCGATTTGAACATCATCTTAAAGGTCAAAGTAATTCTTTTACCCAACGAAACTAAATATTTTTCCTGAATTATCTACTTCAAAATATTTAAAATACCGTTTCATCTATTTCGCTATCTCTTCTCGTTATACTATCTCTTCTCGAGATACATATTTCGTTTTGTAAATTTTTTCCAAAATAGAACACTGTGCGACGCAAGCCAAAGAAGAACCGTTTTAATAGTATTTTTCCAGTTAAAGAAGATAGTCACGAAGAAGGTATTATGGGGAAACGTTATAAATATAGTCTGTAAACTGATTTGTGAAAAAAATCCATATTGAAAAATTTCGAGTTGTGACGATTATTTTTTAGGGAGATATATATTTAAAATGTGTTTATCAGAGTTATTTAAGCGCTAAAAATGTAGTTGGCTATTCCTCCACTCGATGCCTTTCAATATTTGCTATTTAAGCAAATTAGTGCGATTTTCTTATACTAAAAAATATTTGATTTGCCGATAGATTGAAGCAATTATTACGCAAAT